ATGTTAAACAACATCTACTCGGGATAAATTGTTTTAAATCCGCAGGTCCAGATAATTTGCACCCAAGAGTGTTAAAAGAGCTGCCTCAGGGATCTCTGGCCCCTTATTTGATTTGTAATTAACTAGCAGATGAGGCCCCTTGACTGGGTGCAAAGTCACTTTGCATAGACTACACTTCTAGGAAAGTTCAAGGAATTAAATACGTGTCATAGAATTTGTATTCATGTGCTCACAAAAGGGAAGTAAAAGGACAGTTTTACATTTGTAGAATTTCAACTTCAAACACCATCCATTGTACTGAATAATTGCCATCCCTAGTACATTTGAATCAGGAAGGCATAAAGCTTCCATTACTTTTCCATAGCTAATTTGAATTATTTTGAGATTGGGAACAGTAATCATTTTCTTTGCTCTAGAATGACAGTTGAACAGGTGACTCGATTTTAATTTTGTTAGCAAATATTTTGATGAACAGTCATGACTCCCCCCCCCTCCCCAAGAAAAACAAAAATAATTATTTAAACCTTTCACCCAGCATATTCGGGTGTAAAAAGTAGCACATTTAGCTAATTTAAGTGGCAGGAACTCAGGAGTGCGACAAGGGTGCCTATTGTCACCGTTCCTGTTCTTGATCCCAATGGACTGGATTATAAGCAGGACAACCAATGGCCAGCAATGGGGCATTCAAACAGCTGGAGAACATTGATTTTACTGACGCTGTCATGCTCCTGTCACACGAACATGAAAGCATGGAAGAAAAGGTTGCAACACTAGACAAAACTGCTTCAGTGACTGGACTGTGGAGTATTATGGGTATTATGGGCAGAGACGGAGGAACAGACAAGGAGATCAGTGCGAGGACAGGGAAAGCAACAGCTGCATTCGAGACTAGTTGTCCCATATGGAGCTCACAAATAATATCTGCGAAGACGAAACTGTGAATCTTCAACACGAATGTGAGGAGTGTGCCCTTGTATGGATGCGAGGCCTGGCATGCTAAAACGTCTTCAAATCACAAGCTACAGACATTCCTAAACAGATGCCCAAGGTCCATCCTTCACATCAAATGGCAAGACTTTGTCACAAATGAGGAGCTTTGGAACAGAGCAGGACAAGAACCACTTGGCCTTCAAATCAAGAGAAGAAAGTGGGGATGGCTAGGCCACACTCAGAAAACCATCTTCCAGCATAGTCTGTCAAGCTCTCCCATGGAACCCACAAGGAAAATGCAGAAGAGGAAGACCTCGGACAATGTGGGGAAGATCTACTGAGATTGAAGGATGACAACTGGTGTGATGTAGTGGGGGTATGGTCCACTCCCTGGGCGCTATGCTTGGGCTGTGGATGACCCCTACTGGCCTCTGTCTGCAAGCACTGCCCAGCGGGGGGTCGCCCTGAGGGCCCTGATGTGTAAAGCATGGCCCAGATCAATGGAGAGGGAAGGAGTTTGAACAAGGAAGGGTGTGGTTTGGGGAAGTCAGTCTCGTTTGGAAAAACATGAAGGGAAGAGACTAACCTGAGTACTGAGGGGTCAGGGGCCTGTGGACCCCTACCCAAGGGGTCTGAGGCTGCCTTGCCCTAATTCCTTATACCCACATGGCATCTATGCAGTGCTGTATCCTGGAGAAGCAATAAACCCTTTTTCTTTTACTGGCTGGTGGAGAGTCATCTTGCTGCTACGGGGGTGCAGGATTGGGGGAACCCCGACGCACCACCACACTGAGGTATTCCTGGAGTCAGCTAGAAGTTTTATCTGGAAAAAGGGGCATTTGCAATTGCGATGTGTCTAATTTGCATCCCTTTTACAGAAAAGGGATGCAGTCTAATACTCCACTTGCAGTACAAGGGTTTAGTAGTAGTAGTAGTAGTAGTAGTGTTTATGCAAAATTTGGTATTTGTAGGTAATTGGGAAGTATGGCTTTATTTTGAACAGACAAACAAACAAATGGGAGCTCCAGGGGTGTGTCTAGACTACATGCCTCCTTCGACGGAGGCATGTAGATTAGCCAGATCGGAAAAGGGAAATGAAGCCGCGATTAAAATAATCGCGGCTTCATTTAAATTTAAATGGCTGGGGCCCGCCCC